TATCAAGTTCGGTGTGTTTCAAAGTGTGACATATTAGTGCGGAATACTGAATCGTGAATTGATTAAATTTGAAACTATGGACAATAGTATCTTGACCTAATGACCTAATTGTAACTTATTCTATGGCGTGATATTATCCAATATTAGTTCATAACACAATTCTTAAAAAAATATTCATCAGTTTTTGTCTTTCGATTTGCTCTCCAGCCTTCATCTTATTGTTTGACTGATATTATTTGGAATGTTCCGATAACTGGTTTCTTGATTTTATTATTTCTGTCACTAAGTTTTTAATGGTATACAGTTAGATCAATAATAGTTGTGTCTTTTTCTCTCTCAAAATTTCAACTGCAATAACTTTTAAGTATATAGTGGGAAGTCCTTATTCGTTTTTACATAGTATTTCAAAGAATTTACATAAAGTTGTAACATTCAATTCGTTTTTTTTTTACTGTAATTGCATCCTGTTCGATAATAGTTAAAGTTGTAATATTTTTATATCCTACTTACTTTTATACAGCAACCAATTAAACTTATAAATACAACTCTTACAAATCAAGATAACTTACAGGTTACGTTAGATACTATTTCTGGTTCTGTAAAGAAAAGATCCACTGCAAGTCGTCCATTGATTGCATCACGTAAACAGTCTATAGTCGCTAGTGTTACAACTGAGGCAGAAAATGAAAATTGTCAAACTGATTTACGAAGCCTTTGGAGTCGTCGACGTAAAATTGATGGTGCATTGAATCGTGTCCCACCTGGATTCTATAAACGAGTGTATGTCACATTAACTCATATGCAAGGTTTAAGCATTGGCAGTCTAATACTTAGTCATAATTTGACAAAAGAAGTAAGTTTTTCTCACTTTCTGAAATAATTAAAAAGATACAATTATTTGTATATCTTAGTTGCACTTTAATCACTTTGTTTGGGATGTTAGGTAGTTGGAGATAGCTAACCAAGATACCCTGTATTCACCTAGGTTTTGTCCTGGTTGACACTCGTCCTCAGCAAGGTGTACCTTCAGTTGTCAGATAGCTGACACTCTCTGATTGATCCTGACCCGTATCAACCACTTTCACAATCTGAGCATTTATCATTGAGCTATTCATTCTATTACTGCTCTGTAGGACAGGGATATTTACAATTAGTTAATAACTGAGCAGGGATCATCTGTTCCCTCAAGACTACAAGTACTCTCTTACTCATAAAGTCCAATAGCGTTCGCCCGTTATGATTTGGCTAATGTCTGGTTGGCTCAATTTATCGTTTAGCTAAATGTCGTGTATACTACTAAATAAATCATTTTTTAACTTTGTAATTTGTCAAGTCCTTGTTTTGTTTTGTTTTTACGTTCTAACATTTTCATAAAACAATATATTCTGCAAAAGAATCTTTTCCATATTCTCTATTTTCAAAACTGCTTGTTGTATGTGATATTTATTAGCTTAATTTGATCATTCGATAAAAACGAGGTATAGGTTTTGATTTAGACAACATTTTCCTACGTGACTCAGATCAGATTAGAGTGATAACTCCTTAGTCTGGGCATTCGTTCATATCATTAGTCTGTGACTTACCAATGCTCAAAAACAACTTAATAATCAAATATAATTTCATGCATTAGTTTGGATTAGTGATTAAACCATTCAGCTTTTGACCAAGTAGGTCAAATGTTCATGCCCTATCCCATCTACCCCAGTTTATGTTCTCTATGTAATATAAAACTGTATCTGATGTAAACATTATAGCCAAACATTGAGTACAGTTGAGTACGTAATAAACCAGCCATGCTTCATGTATGCAGTTCAGTGATACTACGTAACTGCTTAAATCGAAGTAGATTGAGACTCAAGTTTGTAACCTGGTAGTTGGAAATTGTAACTTTCTTCACTATTCCATGGATAACCTAGGATTACAAGTCAGTGATAACCAAAGTATTTTAAAACTTTTACCGATGAAACATCTTTCGACATCACTAGTTTTTTTTCCTTATGGAATCATTTTAAGGTATTCTGAGTATTCCTTGTTTTGAAGATTAATAATTTCTCCTTCAGTATTTTGACACCATATTATCTATCTGGAATTTAATGTTAAAAATCCTGTTATCAATGCTGATTTTATATGAAAAGATTTATATTTCCTTTATTTTTTTAAAATAATATTTGTATCCTCTACCATCTTCCCCCCACCTTCACTTAATCTAGATGACAATGGATGAACATAAATTTGCTTTAACTGTTGAACATGTATGCACAATGGTTAGTACACCAGAATATCGTCAATTAATTATTGAAGCAATTCACGTACTTGGTTCATTGATGATGCATGATGTTGACAATCGAATATTTATTGATTGTATCGTTAAAGTTGAAGATATTGTGGAGAAAGCAAATAATTTATTTTTAATTGATCAAGTAAGTGATTGCTTTGTTTGATTATAAAGTTTAATTAAACTCTGTTCGAAACTGTAACTCAATTAGTTCAACATCAGTTGTTGGAAGAAACAGAAATCGTTAAACAGTTAACAAGACACCCTTTATTAGACTATACAGAAACCAAATCACTATCTCAATCGTTAAACCTTAAATGGTATTCTTACCTTACGTTGAATGATAATAAGCCAGAATTTAAACAGTTCGACTAAGTAATTATGTGCAGTAGTTGTAGTAGTAAAAGTAGTATACAATTGTGTATCAATCGATTTCTGGCTACCATACCACTACATTTATTTTCGAAATTGCTGGTTTGAACTTCAAGTTCTCATAACATTTTGATTACATAAATTGTGGTAGTTTGTTCTAAATCATAATGTTCCTAAGAATAATTTGAATGTGAACAGTATTATTTGAATCTAAATATTTTTAACCTAAAGGTCATTGTTATATGCACCTGTTCAAGCAGTGTATTTAGCTCTAGAATACGAATGCTCTCTGGTAGGATCCACCGTCTCGTCGTACATTAAGCGATTATGGAAGTAAGGTAATTACTAATCAGTATTTGTCCATACTCGTACAGCCACAGCTGGATAAATACTGTCATCATTCTAAGAATCCTTTTCAACAATTTGTCTTTATTAAAGTCGTAACGAGAAACCTGTTACTCATAAAGCAATTTAGCTGTTTTATTGTTATGCTAAAGAGTTGCAAAACTAACCACCATCCAACACCAATGATGATGTAGTGGGTAACATTAGTCGTTATCTTCCATAACCACTTATATCCTACTGATTGAAGGAATGACTCAGTTCGGTAAATACTTGCTCGTGAAAGCAATCAATTGTGCACTGATAATGTTAAGTGATAGAGTAGTTGACAAGCTTCGTAATGTTTACATCTTTTTTTCTTAGATAAAGTATGGCGGAAACGCCACAGTGTGTTGTGCAAAACCAATGAAGCAATCTGGAGTCACTGACTCAATACCTAGTAATAATAACCAAGCACGTAGACAAAGCACTTTAACGTGCAACGGATTACATAATATTTGTCAGCGCTTCTATGACACACCACCTGCCGGAAAATTCGGTACAATGTCCTATATGGTACGTGCCGTATCTGAATTACTTACGTGTAATAAATGTTTAAACCCAGATAAGCCTTTACCAATCAATTGCAATGTTCAATAATATTCTTATTTGTTTTGCAATCGCATACTCATGCGTCCTTCTTTCTTGTTTTACTCCTCATATTACGTAAATACACATAAATCATGTCCCTACTGAGTTTCTTATCCTTCATTTCACTCTGTCTTATGCACACTTTTGTACACTACACACTGGTGTATTCACCTATTGACATTGGTAGTAAACGGCTTTACCTAATCAATAATTTCTGCCCTTTATACAATCAAGTATAGACTCTTCTCATTTTACATTTCTCAATCATGTTTCATCTAGTGGATTGGAGAATTCATAATGACACTACTGCTTGTTTAATTTTTAATGATATCCTACTATTTTGTAATATCCTCTCACCTGTAGATACTGTTATTTATTTTATACAATCAATTCCCTCTTGATTTTATTGATTGTTGAATTTAATTAGTATCGAAATACTTTTATTATGATAGGATTACGTGTAATAATCTAATTCACTTTGCAAAAGATACTCAATTCTTATTTTCTGATGTCTCTGGCATCTTGAATTCCCCAACCATCTTTTCTTTAAATCATAATTTCAATTTAGTTTGATAGTTTATTAGTGTGTCATGGTATTTCTTCGACATTTGGCCCTTTTCTGATTTGTTTAATCTAGTGCAATTGTACCTCAAATTATTTTAAAGAAGTTGATATGCAGAAAAATACATTACAGTACGATTCTTCATGTGTATGTACTTTCTTAGAATGATTGCATGTATTAACTTATAAAAGTAAATGAATGATGATTTATTCCTTCACTTGTATAACTAAAAGGAGTACGTGAATTGGGGATTTCTGACTGTAATAAAAGCGACTTTTATTCACAGGAAATATATATCAGCCTAACAACCGTTTAAAAATGAATTCACACTAAACAACTGCTTTAGGAGTAACATCAATATTCGATACTTGAAGGAAATCAGTACAAGAGGTCCTGTAATGTGGTTTCACGTTGCTTAAAACTCAACGTGTCTAAATTTCTGACACTTCGCTAAAGACATAATCCAACAACACCTACTGTCAGTCAGGAGGGCGGCTAACTTAAGGTAGCGTAATGGCACGCAGCACTTATACCATCCTAGATTTAATTCTGAAACCTAAGAAGCTTGCGGAATTCTAATGAGGTGTCCATGATCATAATTACTTGAGAAAGTTAGCTTGTAAGCTTCAACTAGTTTGGAAATTACGAACAAAGTTGTGCAAACCACGACAGAGATAGAACAACTGAGCTATATATAAGAAAGCAAACTTTTATCATACCAAACAATGTCAGTACAAATGAAAACTTGTGCACAAGAATGTGTCAAGTAAACTATTTTAAATGAAAATGATCTTAAGCAATCAACCATATCAACGTTGAGTCGGACCTGTGAGATGGTGATTCAGTTGAATATATACTACTTGGCTTCACTCGTTAACATGATTAGATCTAAGAACTTATCAAACAAGTAAAATGGTCATTTTGTAACTTTATCAACAAATTTTAGCTACTGGGCATTTAAAGTTGATTGGTGAAGTTGTAGCTTAATGGTTACAGTATTCCGTTTGCGACCACTTTGTTGTGAATTTGAACTATGTTATAGTTTAGGCAGTTGGAAATTATCATTAACTCTTAGAGTGTGGTAGTTTTAAATGTTAGTTAAATGGTTTCAACCTCGTTCTACTGGATAAAAGGGCAATGGTGTCGTGTACGAACTTGTACCTGGTCGCTAAAGTGAGTAATTTAACACTTAAATACTGAGGAACAGATACGTCTGTTTAAGAACACTATCAAAAAAATAATTTGGCTATTGACTAATTGCATCAATTTTTCTCACAAAGACCGTTTTATGTTCACTATCTCATGATTTGCTGCATAGATAAGACTCAAACACAATCATAATGATAGAAAACTATCTTTTGTAAAGAAAACTAGGTAGATTTAACGCCATACTAATCAGACCATTCTGTTTGCATATATGATAAAGAATCTAAAAGAAATCCAGAGTGGCAAAGATGGTGAGTGAAATAACTAGTTAAATTCTGAAACATCTTGAATTAGTACCTTACTTTGCAGAGATCATTAATATTCAAAGTACAATGATAAAAAACTGGGATGTTGATTATTATCATTTGATCTAGACAAGGTATACTAGTAAGTAGTCCAACTAAGACAAACATTTGGAACCACTGAATTAATAGGTAGTACTCAAACATAACGTTACGAAAGTAGTTCTCATGAACGCCTTTTCTCAACCTAAAAATCATAGCAAAATAAGATTTTTTATACACCAGTAAATATACTTATCAAATTTAGGCGACAAAGAAAAACTTAAAGTGGTAACAAATTAAAGCTTTTCCATTTAGAACAAAACTGCAACCATGATTTCAGATTAGCTGGCAATACATCCGACAGTTTCAATTCCTTAATACAAACAAATAGATAACAATCAACGATTGATGGCAGTTCACGATTGAACTTCACAAAATATGGGTGGTTATTTAAAATATTTAATGACTTTTGTTTTACATCTAGGGAAGCGTTACGTATCGATAATCCGTGTAATAGTAAACTTGAGTCTATAGTAATAATAAGTGATGAGAGTTGGTCGAAATTGTGAGGTTCTAGAATTTTCCCAATCAATTGTACAAGCATACATTCTCCATACAACGTTGTTGGTGTAATAGATTTATCAAGGGATGAAACAGTAATATCAGGACAGCTTGAGTTCCATATAAAATGTAGACACAGTTTTGTGTCAATTTGCCAGTAACATGTGTTATTACTTGAAGAACCATGCATATCAATTGAAAGGATTTCCATTAACTTTTTAAGTGATGTAGGAAGTTCTTTTACTGTTGAATGTACAAATGAGTTAATTGTTACTTTATGTTGGTTACTAAGTAGTATGTGACAAAACAATAATACCGATAATGGAGAACTATTTGGATTACACTGAATAATAAGCGTGAAAGGTTCTTTAGGAACAGTAACAGATTTATTTGAAGGTGTTGGAGTACTGTTTGTCATTGTGCTATTGATATGTTGAAGATGACAATAATTTGTAAACATACTAAAAATATCGTCTAACTCTAAGTCTAATTTACTTAGTTCTTTGTAAATGTTGTCGTGTTGTACATCTTTAACAAGATTTGTTTTATAATGATTTGAAAGATTTGAAATATGATATGTTAACTGACGAAGCTCAGAAATAAAGTCAGATTTTGATGCATTTTGAGCATCACAAACATTGGCCTTATTTTTCGGATGATAACTTTTAAACATGTTTAAAAGAAATGATATATTATCGTCCAATTCGCCAAGCTCTTTAAGAAGACTTTTATCACGTTCATTCAATTCATTGGAAATAAATTCACTTGACATTTCAATACAAGAAGATGAATTATTTTCTTTACCAAGATGGTAAAAATTTTCCACTTTATACATTGTATCCGTATGTACAAAATTAATTGAACTTGGTATTAAACGATCAAGTTTATACATGATTTCTGAAAAAATAAAACAATAACAAACTTGGAATAATAATGACTTTAACATGATAAAAATGTGAGGACATTATCAAACTCCAAACAGTCTACATTGTCCCGGGTACTTTTGAGGACGAATTTATAAACTCCGAATAGAAATACCCTGGTACGGTTGAGGGTGGGGGAGTCCGCCCTAACATGGTCGCACGTATACAGCCACTCACGGGGAAGTCCTACTCACTGACACCTCGCGGCGGGGGTATTGTTTACGAAAGTGAAAGGAAAAAAGGCGAATGCTCGGCGCTTTAACCAAGTTGGTGAATATGGAGAATCCACCCAGTGGACGAAAACTGAACCTTGCGAATATAGTTCAAAAAGAGACCGAAACAAAAGAAATAAAAACTATAACCTCAAAGGATTTATTCCGGAGAATCTTTTCATGGCTCCGATACATTTACAAAAAATTTAAGGTGTCACCAAATATCCTTATCAATAGACTTATCTATTTGCTCTACTATATAAGATAAATGGAAGGTGAAGATAATAGAAAATATAGACAATCACCATTCTAAATGATGCAAGTAGACTAGCTGACCGGCTATTTTTCATCTGAAACACGGTACCTAACTTTGAACTTAATAGTGGTTTGATTCAATATAAAATTGGGAAGCCTTATTAAAAATGCTTTGAAAGTATTCAGTTGGCCATCTCTGTCCTACACTTTCAGTGAGACAGAAACTTTGTAACTGTGTTATACATCCATAAAAGCAAACGATTCTCCTTAATGATTAGATTTACCTACAAAGCATTGGTAAAATATTTATGTTAACGTAGAATGGTATTCTGAATCGATTTTAAAAACTCCGAATGCTCTGGTAAGGCGGAGGGTAAGGAGATTCAGTTCTCCCTCTCGAAATGCTTTCACATGGTCACGCGCATACGGCCATTAACAAGGAAGTCCTACCCAATGGCTTCTCGCACCAGGGGGGTTGTTTACAAAATTGAGAGGACGAAAAAAGAATGTCCGGCGATTGGACCGGGTTGGTGGATATGGAAGGTTCAACTGGGGGAGTCGGGAAACCCTGGTTCAAAACCAATGGTGCACCCGGGTTCCAGGATCCTGAAGAAACAAATGGCGTATGAACCAGTGGATGTTCACAGGCTACCATGGGACGGCATCTCCTTACGTCGCTTCACTGCTTTATTAATCAGACCTTTAAGTTGAAGGCTTGTAGTGTGCCCCCCAAGAAAACAACACGCTTCGGTCTGGGCACCCGAACAGTATGACAGCCCACACACAAACCAAGGGAATTATTTGGCGCGTATGTATTCGGTGCCGTTTTGTATCAATATTTGTGTTCAAATAAATAGATAATTTGAACGGATTTATGAAATCCAAAGCAACTACTGTTTTATGGTGCCTTCATATAAACCATTCTTTTCTAGTAATCAGTCTGGATGTCCAAAGAATTTGACGTAAAAACCCATGGGATTAAAAATTTGTTTTGGATACAGAACTCACCACCATACACCCTATCTAGGTAAAAAGCTTGCTAATCTCAGTGTTGCATAATACTACTAGTGAGCTTTGGATATCCTACTTAATATATATATATATGTAATATAACTCAGCTTTCCATTTTGAATTAAGCACTTGACAACCGTATTATACCTGTTTGGGGTGAATACACTAGACTGTGTCTAAAGGAACACTGACGAGCTCAGCCTGGAGAGTCAGTCTCTCAATCACATTCGAGTTACCTGAACTTAGATGCTGATAAACGAGGAACAGGAAATAAAAGCACGTGCCATTATGGAGTCGAGTACTGGATTTATGTACATCACAGTCGAGTAACACAGAATAGGTGACATACGTAACATAAAATTTATCATCCAGCGAGGGCTTAAGAAATAGTCGTGAATAAGCAAGGACTGAGATTACAGAGAAATTAAGTACATCATGTGATGTAATCTCATTACCCTTAATATGTAAATCGTCGATAATATCCGGTCATTAATCCTGATAACTAAGTACATAGGTTAAATAAAGTCTGGCCGTATCAGCCGGTAACAGTAAATCTGTTATTAGTTCCAGATAGAACTATTACCATCGGTGGCAATAAAGGATGTTAGTTTGACTAAAGTGCTACTTGGGACTAAGTTTGTTATCCAATAATGTACATGAGGAACATACACAATCAATGGGTAGTTTTGATTTGGTAGCATTACCCATGCATCTTAAAACACCGAGAAACGATAAGACGACAACAGAGAAAACCCACATTACACATGTAAACAACCAACTCTAAACTCGCTCACGTCCAATATCCAATGTCTTTATCACAACGTGTGCAAACCAATTGGTTTCTTTGCGTTCTCTTCTTGTTGTTTTGTTTCAGCTCCAGGTCATTGATATTGTCCAATTGGTGGTAGTCTAGCCACTTGGCTGCACTAATTCTAGTCAGTTTGGTAGTCGTTTGTGTATCATGTAGTTCGATCGAGTGCGTTCGTCTCAAGGCAGTAGGGTCTTGGGATCCAACAGCTATTGCACTGCCAGGTAGGGGGTCGGTTGGTCGCTGTGTGGAAAACAGTAAAGAGAAAAATTCCAGTGCTAAGAGAGGTTGGTTGTGTCAAAAGGTAAATAAATAAATTAATAGTTCAAACAGTATGAAGAGGTCGAAATGTACGAATAAAAGGGGGAACGGTGATGATAAGAAACGAGGTTGAAATAAGCTGACGTGACGGTGGCAGTAGTAGGTAGATTACAAAATATGCATCAGACACATTCCAAGTGGGAGATAGCATCCCATGGGTGAGTACATGTTTGTCAAGCCTTCACTTGAAGCCGTCCACTGAGATCTGTGGGCACTCCTGCCGGCAGAACATACCAAACGGGGCAAATCTTAGTAAGTAAAAGTGGAGGTGTGACTGAGTTTTTGGTCCTGGTAGGGTCTTCGTGTAGGGATGACTTCGTGTACTTAGCACGCTGTGTACCATTGTCACGTCACTCCTTATTCCCATATAACTCAGAGAGGACTATTTTAGCTGTCGGAGTTCATCTTCGTGAGATTTCTTCCTTAACTCCATCACCCACTTCGTTGCTCGTCTCTAAGAAATTTACGCTTCTTTCGAGGAGAGGAGGTGAATGAACTTTGTGAACCTCGAGGTGAGGCCATGAGTTTGTCTTAAGCAATGTAAGAAACAACTTTGGGGTGATTGAATCAGGTTGTCTATATAAAAGTGGAGAGTTGGATTTGAAGTGTAGTTAGAACTGGCGTCCAAGCTCTCTGTGGTTGCTAGTCCTGTATCACGCTATGTGAAGATGATCGGGAAAGGCTTATTGTGGAGGACGTACGTTCTGTCCATTTCCCTAATATTGTGAGGTCTTTCGACGCCCCAGCGCACTTCCGTCGCTCCTTATGACCTCCGTCTCTTATGATCGTCAGTGTGAGCGAGGGCTGACGCGTCAATTTTGTCTAGGACGTTGTTTGTTAAAGTCAGAAAGAGTAGTGAAGTTAAGGTGATCCGCTGTGAGACTTTCGATTTCGAGACCCTCTGGTCCACAGGCATTTCATGTGCCTTGATACGGGGCATCCAGTTCTACAGGCGACTCTGGAGCCAGGATAGAAGTGAGTCAGTGTGACTCGTCTTCGCGACTTTTTGGGTACTGTGTTTAAAGCTTCTCCGAATCCATAAATATTGCTTAGATTGGTACCTTTCCGCTCTGGAAGGTTCTCAAGCTGTACAGTTCTAGAAGAAGGCCAGATGCTCAAGACTTGTCTTCTGTAAATCCGTGTCATGTCTCGCAACTTATCTTGTTTTTCAAGGCACAACAGTAAAACAGACCAGAATACAATCAAGTGTCAGTGGACCTCGATCAAAATCTCGCAACACAGGAAACTACGAAGATAGTCATGTTGACTGCGTAGCAATCTACGTTAGCTGATTAGAATCTAGTCGATGACCTCCTATTAGGATTAAAACAATGTAGATTTTACCCTTAGTTACTTCCTTGCTTTCTGTTGGGCTGTAGTTTCTACTATTCTTCAATGAATGGTAAACGTTTGTGAGTTTAAAATTAGAACTTCGTATTCCATTTCTTCCCCGTATTGGGTAATTTTTATCTATCACAAACACCTTGAATTTTTTTCAAGCTGTGTACATTGACATGTTAACATAGTTCCAACTACTGGACCAACCATATCGAAAAACGTATGTATATAACTAATCAGTCTGCTACATACCTCCATCTGTTTACAGCTTCTCAAGCAAGTTTTATCACAGTAAAACATCACGTGATGGAGTAAATACCTAACTACCTCTTGAGCGACGTACGTTAGCTGAACAAGGAAGAACAGAAACACTCTTCCAGCTCAAACTGAAAAGCATAGTTATTACTAAAACCTGGCTCTCTACGGACTTCACGGGCGATGAAGTGAGCGTTCACGACACAGTGCTACCCGACTGTGACAGGAAAAACAAAATAGGGAGCGGTGTGGCGATATATGTTGACAGCATTCTCAAAGCCACGATGCCGTAGAAGATCAAGCTAGATGAGTTATCGGGCTGTCGCTGATGTTGCTTTAAATTGAACAACGTGAAGTACGTGGTCAAGGAAATATATTGTCCATCCCACACACAGAAGGAAAATGCACCCAAGGTAATACCGATGCTATCAAGCCTGAGATTTGAACGGATACTCTTAAACGGCGATTTCGATACCCCATCACAGATTTGATGTGATAGCGAGAGGGAGGTTTCACAAGAATTTCATTGTAGCCATAAAAATCCTCAGCATGACTTAACATTAAGACGACTTTAGGAAATGGGGGAAAGACAAAAATCTTTCAAGACATGAATATCAGCAAAAACCAAAATATAAATATTCGGTTTGGATGCAGAACTAACGGACCAGTTAATTAGATAAGGCTAAACAATGTTAATCTGTATGACGTACGAAGCGTTTTTGAGTGACTCGTATTAAATTATATCAAAGCACAAATTCTGTATTCAATCTAGACGATTCTGATTCGAGAAAGAGAACAAATTATGTAAAAAGTAGAAAATATCTCAAACGGTTCAGCCCGTGCTATACAGCCAAGGGATTTTCTAGAATAAATAAACATGCCAAACAACACAAGGAATAGTCAATAAACAAGAGAATTAATAGAAATATTCCCAACACGATGGGACCAGATATCTATCTGCAAGGATTCCAGGAACCTTTCCAAAAAGACAGTCAAAAGTTAACAGGCATACACAGAACCAAGCAGTAATCTTGATTTTTGTCAAACATGACTTTGTTGTCTATGGTCCGGCAACGATCGACAGTAAATTAAGTGACAAAATATATATCTTTAACCAGGACCAAATAACAGAAGCCTCGATAGGGAAGACTGGAGAATATAAAGTGTGATTAACAAGAGACCTCAATAAGAGTTAGAATACAGGTTGAGGCGAGGAAACAAATAATCAGCAATTCTGTCGTATAATGTGTTTTTCCTATTACACTATCTACTACCAAATGACTAGCTCCTAGCCGAGAAGGTCCACGTTTAAAAATCAGAAGCGAGTAAGAACCACAGCGCAGTCATACTTGACGTGATTGAACTAGAGAAAATATACAGGGACAAAGATGCACCATACCTTTGCTGCAACAGTGGAAAATTAACGGCCACGAGGGAGAATTTTCAACACTATCCACATCCATAATCGTGATGAAAGCTAATACTAGGTGAGCACTGGTAGATTGTGAGGGATAGTGTCCAAGAAGCCATCCTTCTCAATGTACGACAAGTGAAAAATACATGTGGAATAACGCACAGAATATCAGACACGGGCTACAAGCCAAGCCTGGCATCGATGAAAAGTTTCTCTATATAGGACTAGCAACCACAGAGAGCTTGGACGCCAGTTCTAACTACACTTCAAATCCAACTCTCCACTTTTATATAGACAACCTGATTCAATCACCCCAAAGTTGTTTCTTACATTGCTTAAGACAAACTCATGGCCTCACCTCGAGGTTCACAAAGTTCATTCACCTCCTCTCCTCGAAAGAAGCGTAAATTTCTTAGAGACGAGCAACGAAGTGGGTGATGGAGTTAAGGAAGAAATCTCACGAAGATGAACTCCGACAGCTAAAATAGTCCTCTCTGAGTTATATGGGAATAAGGAGTGACGTGACAATGGTACACAGCGTGCTAAGTACACGAAGTCATCCCTACACGAAGACCCTACCAGGACCAAAAACTCAGTCACACCTCCACTTTTACTTACTAAGATTTGCCCCGTTTGGTATGTTCTGCCGGCAGGAGTGCCCACAGATCTCAGTGGACGGCTTCAAGTGAAGGCTTGACAAACATGTACTCACCCATGGGATGCTATCTCCCACTTGGAATGTGTCTGATGCATATTTTGTAATCTACCTACTACTGCCACCGTCACGTCAGCTTATTTCAACCTCGTTTCTTATCATCACCGTTCCCCCTTTTATTCGTACATTTCGACCTCTTCATACTGTTTGAACTATTAATTTATTTATTTACCTTTTGACACAACCAACCTCTCTTAGCACTGGAATTTTTCTCTTTACTGTTTTCCACACAGCGACCAACCGACCCCCTACCTGGCAGTGCAATAGCTGTTGGATCCCAAGACCCTACTGCCTTGAGACGAACGCACTCGATCGAACTACATGATACACAAACGACTACCAAACTGACTAGAATTAGTGCAGCCAAGTGGCTAGACTACCACCAATTGGACAATATCAATGACCTGGAGCTGAAACAAAACAACAAGAAGAGAACGCAAAGAAACCAATTGGTTTGCACACGTTGTGATAAAGACATTGGATATTGGACGTGAGCGAGTTTAGAGTTGGTTGTTTACATGTGTAATGTGGGTTTTCTCTGTTGTCGTCTTATCGTTTCTCGGTGTTTTAAGATGCATGGGTAATGCTACCAAATCAAAACTACCCATTGATTGTGTATGTTCCTCATGTACATTATTGGATAACAAACTTAGTCCCAAGTAGCACTTTAGTCAAACTAACATCCTTTATTGCCACCGATGGTAATAGTTCTATCTGGAACTAATAACAGATTTACTGTTACCGGCTGATACGGCCAGACTTTATTTAACCTATGTACTTAGTTATCAGGATTAATGACCGGATATTATCGACGATTTACATATTAAGGGTAATGAGATTACATCACATGATGTACTTAATTTCTCTGTAATCTCAGTCCTTGCTTATTCACGACTATTTCTTAAGCCCTCGCTGGATGATAAATTTTATGTTACGTATGTCACCTATTCTGTGTTACTCGACTGTGATGTACATAAATCCAGTACTCGACTCCATAATGGCACGTGCTTTTATTTCCTGTTCCTCGTTTATCAGCATCTAAGTTCAGGTAACTCGAATGTGATTGAGAGACTGACTCTCCAGGCTGAGCTCGTCAGTGTTCCTTTAGACACAGTCTAGTGTATTCACCCCAAACAGGTATAATACGGTTGTCAAGTGCTTAATTCAAAATGGAAAGCTGAGTTATATTACATATATATATATATATTAAGTAGGATATCCAAAGCTCACTAGTAGTATTATGCAACACTG